AGGTTCAAGTATAATCATCATTAGTGAGTTCTAATGATGAGTTTAAGTACAATAATGGCATTAGGATTATTTGTAGGATAATGATTTCCTTTTATAGTTGAGGGGAGGCTCTAGCTTCCGTCCGCGATTGATGTGAAACTCTAGAAGTTTTATTTTGATGTTAACACGTGTCATGTTGTGATTGACCTCCTAGTTGGAGAGAAACTCTTGTGCTTTGGCAAAGGGTGCTTCAACACGAATCCTTCAATAGGTTCTTAAAGGTATGAAGTTAACCAGTGCTCAGTAATTTTGGGATTGATGAAGTATGATACAAACAATGCTCCCTCAAGTTTCTTAGTGAAGTAAACTTATCGGTTGAGGACTTGCAAAACCGAAGTCACTGAATAATTACAAAATTTATAAGTACCGAAGTGTAGTGTCATATAATGAGAGTCCTTCTAAGTCTCTAAATGAGGAGTTACTGAAGAAGGTGCTTTAACTATCGTCGAGTCACCAGAGATCAAAACATTTTTGGTAGTGCTCACTTTTCGTTTATGTTTGAGCCCAAGGCCGTCTTTCTAAATGTTAAGCCTTGCAAGCCCACGACCTTATAAGCCCAGGATATTTTGAGTCTTGGACAATACTTGAGATTTAATCTCTATTTCTTACTTCAGGTTTTTTTTTTTTTTTTGGTTGATAAATTATATTATCTACCCTAAGAGGGTGAGGAAATGGGGCTAAGTCTCACAATGAGTTAGAAATAATGTAGTTCAAATTCATCTTTAGCGAGAATTGAATCTAAAACCTCTTACTTATAAATGAAGAAGAATACTATTAGACCGTAGTAGTAAATGACAATATATCTTTAGTTTAGGTTAATATATCCAATCAAGTTTTAAGCAACGAACGTGACCTTTCGGGTTTCAATCCTAAAGCTTAGTGACCAAGTCCTCTTTCCCAGTTTCTCTATATCTCCACTATCCTCGGCAGATCAGAGCTCAAAGCTCAAAGCTAAGATTTTTATATATGCCCGTGGCAGCTAGGGCTTTGTTCAGCGAGTATAACCGCGCGCGGACTCCGAGTTGGTCCGATTTCAGCAATGTACAGTGGGTCCAGCGACGGCGAAGGCCATGAGGCCGCGCAGCGGAAGATCCCTCCGGCCTCCTCCATGCTCTGGGTCCGTAACCTCCGCCGCTTCATCGGATCCGGTGCCGGACTCGGATCCGAAGCCCTCATGGGTATTTTTCTTCTCACCTCTCTCTCTCTCATTTCCGTGATTTCTTTCAAATTTCCTTTTTTTCTTGTCGAATTTAAAGTTTTTGAATTAGGGTTTAGATTAGAACCATGTGTTACGCATTTGGGATTTTGGGTGCAGTTGGTAATTTATGTCCCCCTCTTTGTTTTAGAGATAATCAACTGTTATTAAGCTGTTTGCGTAGTGATTATAACTTGCTTTAGGACTAATAAATCAAGTGTTAGCTAGATAAGATAATCGAAACAGGACAAATATGAAGGAAAAAAGTTTCTGCTACCTTAAAGTTTCAATTTTTTTGAAGTTGGGAGAGTGATGTCAATTTATCACAGTTGTTCGAATGGTTTTATTTAGGTATGCATTACACATTCTACTGAGCCAATGATTCATGTGTGCTAGCGAATTTCGAAGAGCTCAGCTTCGTTTTCTATCTTCGGTCTTTAATATGCAAGTGTAAGGCACCTGTTCATTGACTACTTGAGTCCTTCCCCGAGTTTTTAGTAGGTACTGGGTCGCTGTAATTTGCTTTTATGAGCCCTTCTGTGGGTGTGCACGCTTGAGATCGAAACCAAGTTTTTAGTTTCTAAACTTGCCAGTTGCTATATAAATTGCTGAGACATGCTCTGATGCTACTGAGGCGGATTAGTTCATACATATGCCAATATTCTCTGCCTGAGATTTTAATCACGCGTTTTGTATTCTTTTATTCCGTGCAGAGCTTGAAACAAAGAGAATCTTGCTTGATATTTTCAAAGAGAAGCAACAAAAAAGTGCTGAAGCTGGCACAATCCCGAGTTTTTACAAGAAGGCATGTAGTAGGATTTTTGTTGTATTTCAATGATTCTGTTCGTGTTGGGAATCTGAGGAGGAAGGGATTAATTTTTCGTGATGGAAAATTGACAATCTTTAATACATTTTTGTTCTGAACACTTCTAATGTTCTCTCTCCTTGGTCCGTTTTGACTTTGCACTGTCTTTCCATTCTTTCAGAAACCTGAAGAAGGATCTATTAGTCAGAGGGTCCAGGGGCTGGCAAAATATCGGTTTTTAAAGGTAATCATCCAGATTTTCATTCCTGATGATTATTGTTTTATTGTGTTGCCTAAGCATCTGACTTTATCGGTGGCATTTACGTTTGTTTTGCAGAAGCAATCAGATCTTTTGCTGAATGCGGATGATCTAGATGCTATGTGGGTGTGCTTAAGGGAAAATTGTGTGATTGATGATGCAACTGGTGCAGAAAAGGTCTCTGGTAACTGTGACATTTTTTTTATTATCTGCACTTCAATTTATGGCTTTGATTAATTATAAATTTTTGGTTGCATAGTTACTTATCTGCCTAATGTTTATAAGTTCCCTTATTTATCATCTTGTAGATGAACTATGAGGACTTTTGCCACATTGCCTCTGTATGTACGGAGCAGATAGGGACTAAATGCCGGCGCTTTTTCAGCCCTTCAAATTTCATGAAATTTGAGAAAGATGAACAGGGAAGAATTGCCATTCTGCCCTTTTACCTTTATGTGATGAGAACGGTGGGTATAATTGATAATTAATTCCACCAGGCTTTTTCTTGCATCCTTTTGAAGACTTGAAAGTATGCAATATATGACTACTGAATTGTGCGAGTCTCGAATGCTACTTACTATTTGTTGCTTCCAGGTGTCACTTACTCAAGCTCGAATTGACATGAGCGAACTTGATGAGGATTCTGATGGTTTTCTTCAGCCTCATGTATGAACTTGTTGCAATTTTCAGCATCTAAGTGTTATATTTGAAAGTTGAGCTTTTTTCTTTAGCTACCTCATTTTTCTGTTTGATATTTAATAGATTTTTTTTATGCATTATCTTTTTCCATCTTCTCTTATTATTGTAATGGTTTTGCTCTTTCTTCAGGAAATGGGAGCCTATATACGAGGCCTTATACCTAATCTAGCGCAATTACGGGACATGCCTTCAGGCTTTAGTGCAATGTATTGCCGCATAGCTGCACAAAAGTTCTTCTTCTTTTGTGACCCTCATAGACGAGGTTTGCCAAAGTTACACGTCAATACCTATTCATTTATTGCTGTTATGTTTTGCTTTACAGTCAAAGTTCTAAAAGATGCTAGACACTAGTCGGGTGGTGGATTGGGGCCTAGCGCCTAGGTAGCTAGGTGGACTAGGCTAATTTAAGTAAACTTATTATATATTCTATAAATAAGTGTCTTCTTATACTTAAAAAATACATAACTGTATTGGAATACAAAATTGAAAAATAGAATGATATACAAAACATATTGAAAACATGGGAACCAGAATATAGTAAGTGTTAATCCAAGTATTCAACAAGTCTATTACAATTTATTAAAAAAATAAAATGCAAAATGAAAGTTATCTATTTTCTGTCTAAGTGAGTCGCTGCAGGCGCCTAAGAAGGTCTAGGCGCCCTTTCTTAATTTTCAAACGCCTGCCTAGAGCCTAGGCAGGGGCCGGGCGGATATTTTTAGAATTGTGATGACAATATATAAAATCACAAGCCTCTCCACTCATGGCCAATAGGTTTTGGGTTGGATGCTCTAACTTTAGAAGATACCAGATTTAAAATTCTTTATTTAATGGTTGAAAAAAAAATATTTTTTTTTTCATACAGGAAAAGCCTGCATAAAGAAGGTGTTGTTGAGTAATTGTCTCCAGGAACTAATGGAACTGCACCAGGTAGGTAGTGAAAGAATTTGTGAAAACTTGCTATGTTATAAATTGCATCATCTTCATTAGGTGTCAAGAAGACATCCAATTCTGATCTTATGCTAACTATATGTCCTGAACTTTATTCTATATTAGGAAAGTGAGGAAGAAGTCACTGACAATGAGCAAGCTGAAAACTGGTTCTCTTTGACATCCGCCCAGCGCATATGTGGTGAGTAGTTTTCACATTTAAACTTTCATTCCATGTCCCCGGGTTCCATTGGCATTCCTCTTTTGCTGTTGTTAAATGGATTGTCTTGTACATGTGGCATATTTATGCTGCTGTTAAAGTGTAGTATGAGGATTCCATTCTAGAGTGAGATGATTATCTGCAGTCTTGGCTTGCCATTACCTTGTCGTGATTTCGTTTCACATTCTTGAGTCTTGAAGTCATTATTGTGTTCTAGATATATTCCCAAACACAAGAATTTGCCAATGTTAAAATCCTAGGCTCAGTATGGTAATCTGTACACTCAAGCTCAAGATAAATGTGGTGATCATAATTGAAAACTTTAACACTACTGTAATTCGATTGCTGATTGCAACCCGTGCTTTCTGTAGACATGTTCATTGCTCTAGATAAAGATTCGAGTCAATCATTGAGCAAGCAGGAACTTCGAGAATATGCGGATGGGACATTGACTGAAATTATCATTGAAAGAGGTGGGCCTAGAAAATTTGAATCCAGTGTTTGTACTATGTACATGTTCATTTACTTAAAAATGCTAAGGAATCAATATGGAATTCTATTTCTGGGGATGCCCCCATCTGATATATTATAATGCATTTTGTATTTACATTTTTAGATTCGTTTATTCATGCCTTGCATTTGATGTGACCTCAACAGTGTTTGATGAGCACGTTCGGCGTGGAAAAAGTGGAGGAAGTTCTAGGGAAATGGACTTTGATAGTTTTCTAGACTTTGTCCTGGCCTTAGAAAACAAAGACACCCCAGAGGGCTTAACATATTTGTTTCGATGTCTTGATCTTCAAGGAAGGGGTTACCTTACAACAGCTGATATACACTCTCTTTTCAGGTAAATATTCTTCTGTTTTTGACTTGTTTGTGGGGGACACTTATCAGAAACCCAAAAGAAAACGAAAACTTTATTTGGTGGTAGAACTTCTGTTGTCAAAAGTTTGTTCTGTGCTTTGCTTGGCTGCTGGTGCAAAATGTAAGTATTGCCTTTTGCCATGATCTGTGTAACCAAGCAGAGCCAAATATGGAAGTAAAGAAGAGGAGCATCCGAAAGTCAGGATGTTACCTGATACAAACTTCCTACAGAAAAGCCTCTCTAGTATTTTCCTGCTTGCAGTACTTGAGCAATATCTGCAAGTCTCAGATTATCAGAGACATGAATATTCTAACGAGTTTAACTACTATAAATTTTTTAATGCTATTTGCTTCAGCACTGATTCCTTTGTATGTTGTGTCAGCTGAAAGATCTTATCTCGTGGTTTTGTGAAACAGGGATGTACATCAGAAATGGATCGAGGGTGGAAACTACGAATTGTGTATTGAGGATGTAAGGGATGAAATCTGGGACATGGTTAAACCAGCTGATCCACTGCGGATTACATTGGCTGATTTACTAGCTTGCAAACAAGGCGGCACTGTTGCCAGCATGCTCATAGATGTGCGCGGTTTCTGGGCACATGACAACAGAGAAAATCTTCTCCAAGAAGAAGAGGAACCAGAAGAAGAATCGTAAATACACTAGGAGGGACTCGAAAGGTTGCCCCTTTGGCTACACTAACAAATTTAGATGGATTTTCTGTGTGTTTGGTTTCTGGTTTTTTAAGTTTTGTTTGTTGAGGAGATGAATTGCCTTGAACCGTAGCTATCATTGTAATATTGTGTTAGTTAATGTGAAATGTAAAATAACAACTATAGCTAATTGTTGCAAAATGCAGACGTCAGTACCTTAGGGTTAAGGGTATAGTAGCGGCCTGGGTGATTCTGAACTAGCGTACGTCATAGAGTGCTGTTGCACTCGAAAAGTGCGTTGTTCATCGCATCAAAGGCTGGTACCATCAGGACGGAGGAGGAGATTGAAGCATTGAAGCAATGGAGGAAAGTAGAGCTGACAAAAAATGCTTAAAGAGAGTGCCTTCAACTGCAGAATTGACAATGTCCTGGATCAAACTTGAAGCAGCGAGTTGCAATTAAGTTGCAAAAACTGAGGGTGCATACGTTCTAATATGTGGGAGCGGGGCTTAGAAAAGTTTGGCTTTCTTCTGTGCTTTGCTTGGCTGCTGATGCAACTTTTCACCATGATCTGTGCAACCCAGCAGAGCCAAATATGGAAGTAAAGAAGAGGATCATCCGAAAGCCGGCATGTTACCTGATACAAACTTCCTCCAGAACCATGAGTTGTATAGAGGATGTAAAGGACGAAATCTGGGACATCTGCAGGCGGAAGCATTCTCATTCTATAAAATCTTCACTCTGACAATTTAACTATGGTAATTTACAAATTTAACATAACTAAAAAGAGGTCTTAGTCCTCCAAGACCGAAATTGCCCCATAAAATTCAATTACAAGGATCACAATGCAGCAGTAGGTTTAATACAAATTTTTGTGACTTCAAAGCGTTAGGCACTTTACCCGTTTCGTTGCTTGCCATGGCGTTTGCTTGATAGGGCAGACTCTGTCATTTGAAGATTTTTAACTTGCTGAGGACACAAGGGGTTGCAGGAGAAAGACCCAGGAGCATCCAACCTAGTACTGATGATAGCCAGATTCGTGTGTTGCGCTTGATGATCAGTATTGTGGAACCCATGATTGTCAGTTGGTTATTTGAGAAAATAAGAAACACCGGTGCCATTCACATAGGATATTTGTTGCGTTCTTTCACAACTGCAGATCAGGGCCTTATAATTTGCTCTCAAGCTTCAGTCATTAGCAGGATATCCCAATGCCGACTATCTGTCCTCTTCACACTATCCCATAGACACAAACATCTCACGAATCTCATGACGACAAGGACCATGTAACTCAAATCCCTTTCCTTTTACGTAACCTTGTTGCTTGTATAAAGAAAGCAGAAGCTAATCATTGTGCCAACAAGGCTCCACTAAGCAACTCCAGCAGCTTGCATGAGATTGTGAGCTCATAAGTAAATCAGGCCCGCTTCTTGAATCCTTACACTAGCTTGTGGCATAAAAGAAACTTCAAATTTTGTTGCAGTTAAACATTAAACCCCTCGTAAACCATTGCTCTTTACATTCTCTAACGACCCAGCGGATGCATCACATGACTTAGCTGAGCAAGCAGTTGGCCACTTTAACTTCCCTGTTGAGGAGTTCCCCGATATTCACACAGGTGTTCCAATGTATAGGCAAGATCAGAAATTAGTATCAAGTTTCTCGCCAAAATTCAACGCAAGCTTTTATACTCGACCACTGCGTCATAGGTTTCCATGTTGAATGGACTCTCTGCAAAACATCTGAAGGGAAATTGTTTCCAATTAGAAAGCATTTACAAGCGAAGCACAAATGGAAACTAACTTACTTACACCTCTAGGAGTGTCTATAGAGAGATCTATTTAAGAGAAATAAAAAAAGAGTTTCGGTATAGACCTACTAATGTATGTTGCTGCATCTCACATGATAAAGATAGCCTAAGACACCAATGTAATATGGAGCTCGCACCAAACACAAATGACATTGAACAAAACAAGCTGATGCAAAACCTCGATTCCAAAATGGCATTAAACAATTGAAAAACTACGAAGCTTTTAAAGTCAATAATTACCTTAACTCGTGCCAAAACACGTCAGTTCGATCAACTAGAAAAGGGCGCAACGACGCAAGGGGGTCACCTCGGACATCACACTGTCCTGGAAGGACCTGATCCTTATTTTCAAGGCTTGCAATGAAGAGTGAGGTGGCCACATGAACAATAATAGATGGATCTCCGTCTCCAAGAAGAGCCTGCAACTCCCTCCGAATCCATGGCTCTATTCTTTGCAAGATTCTCTCTTTCACACCATCGTTTATGGGTACACTCTAGAATTTCAAAATCAAAATACTCAATTCAATCAGTTTACCATTTCTTCACTAATTAGTCATTCAAATTTCAGGATATAAATTCGAACAAAGAGTGAGTAACAGCGATACACTAACCACTTGAAGACGATTTCTTGAAGCCGAAGGCACAGCTTGCAATCGTCTGTCATATACACTGCTTACAGAAAAGAAAAGTTCAAAAAAAATCAAAATAAACCAAGTTCGAAAAATTAGTAAACAATAAAATTCAGTGTGAAGTGTTACCTAGCTCGCCATTGGAGCTTTCTCTCCGCAACCGTATCAGGACCGACCGATCCTGGCCGTCCAAACGATCGCCGCCACGGCATCGGCCTTGATCGCCGCCGTTCACTACTACTCACATGCCTAATTAAACACAAAATAGCAAAATTTGAGCTCGGAATTGCAAATTTAACGAAACCGGTGGATCAAAAACTAAAATGTCACAAAATTCAGACCTTGGAGGATGCTCTTCGTGTTGAAGGCCGAAGCTTCTAGCACTAGAAGTGCGATACAAAGGAGGTAAATGTTCTTTGTGGAAGCTTCGGGAAGAGAGGCTGATTTGCGAGAACCAGGAGTCGAAGTCGGCGTTGCAGAGAGGGCATTTTCGTCTCAAATTGCTCCACTTCCGGATGCAACGGACGCAGTATGCGTGGTTACAGGACGAGAGCACCGCTGCGCTGCGAGCTTCCACGGCAACCAAGCATATTGGACAGTTTTGCCCTCGGATTGCCGGCAATATTACCGTCCGCAGCCGCTTCTCCCGGCCGCTTATCCTCGTCGGTTCCCTTAACGAGAAGTCCATCACGCCTCTCTGAAAGAGTCTGAAAGAGGAGAGAGAAAGAGAGAGACACGGCCCGGAAAGAATGACAATTTGTTTAAAGGAGATCTGAAGTATTTATATTCGATATTCGTGGGTCTCCGGTTTTGAAATTTGGATTTTTATGACCGGTTGTAATGTAAGCCCAATACCCTATATTAGAAGTTCTAAAATACACTAAGCGCTAGTTGGGCAGTGGGTTGAGGCCTAGCGCTTAGATGGTTAGGCTAGTTGGGCAGTGGGTTGGGGCATAGCACCTAGATGGCTAGGTGGAGCCTAGGCGGACTATAATGATTTAAGTAAATCTATTGTATTTCGTGTAAATAAGTGTCTGTTTATACTTAATATATATATATATATATATATATATAATTTCATCATAAACTAGAAAATAAAATTACATATATATTATGAAGTATTGGAACATAATGAAAATATGAGGAGCAAACATATAATGTGTGTTTATTTAAGTGTTCAATAAGTCTCTTACAACTTATTGGAAACAATAAAATGCAAAAGGAAATTTATCTATTTTTTATCTAAGTGAGTTGCAACCTAGGTTGGTGTTTAGGTGGGTCTGGACAAGCTAGACGGGTGCCTCAGCAGGTCTAGGAGCCATTTCTTAATTGTCAAACGCCTAGGCATTAATCGGGGCAGTGACCAGCCGCCTAGCGCTTAGACGAGGATTTTTTAGAACAATCATTAGAAGTGTGTATATTGATCCTGCATATCTTAGACCCTAAAACAACTCATGTTACAAGATTGAAACGTATGTTCATCGTGTAATGCTAAGTAGCCTAAATTTATAATTGTTTTTTTAATAAACAATATTATTTACATTAAATGAGAGGAAGATCGATTAAGCTTCTCAATGGGCTAGCAATAATGTAGTTCAAATTTGCCTTTAACGAGAATCGAACCTAAGACCTCTCACTTACAATTGAAGAGAAATACTACACTGTAGTTGTCACATCTCGATCCCAACATACGTCCAAGATCAACTCGTGACGTCACCAATTACATGTATATCTAACATACCTCGCCTCCGGGATATGTGCAAAGCACAACTCACGATCTAACTGCATAGTAATTTTCTGTACACTTTATAGCTGCATCTAACCTCATTGTTAGATTGCCTACGTACCCTAAACAGGGATCAAGCCATTTGTAGTTCATCTTTCACTACACTCGAACATTCATCACATAAACCACAATGTCTCAACATAATACCACGATTTATGGCATCCAACACCTTAAGGAACATTCAACGAAGCACAATAATATTCTCTAGTCATCTTGCCATTCACCCACACATATGCATTCCAACACCATCCAATAATCACACCAATCAATAACACATACAATACACTGAAATGCAAGGCTAGAGCGACACAGTTTGGCCAAAGCCTACATCTCTGAAGCTGAAATCAAATCTAAGGAATCAACAAGTCAAATGATGCGATTTCAGACCACTCAATGAAATCCATCAACATCGGGTTTCGGACCACTCAACGAAACCAAGACACCAAAGGGGATTCCGGACCACTCAATGAAATCCAAACCAGGATACGATTTCGGACCACTCAACGGAACCACGAAGTAAAGGGATTCCGGACCTCTCAATGGAATCCAAGTGGATACGATTCTGGACCACTCAAAGGAATCGCAGAGTACAATGCATATCGAACCACTCAATGAAATCCAAGCTGGATACGATTCCAAACCACTTAACGGAATCGCAGATCACGAAGGATTCCGAACCGCTCAACGGAATCCAGACGGAGTAGGGAACTGGACCACTCAACGAAACCCCATCGGATACCTAGTTCCGGATCACTCAACGAAATTGAGCGAAAGGCCAAGGAATATATCAACGGCTCAAAGAAACAAGACATAAACCAAATGCTCAATTTACAAAGGCTCAACGAAATGAAACAAAGCACAAGTACAAAATTTAGAATAGCTCAACAAAACGAGAAATGAAATAATGATATGATATGTGAAACAAGTCTCGAAGCAACAAACCCCATAACAATGGGTTAATGGTCCACTTCTAGCCCTCACATATCATCACATCAAACTAATCAAGCGAATCAAACCACATTTCAAATATGCACGTCAAATCACATTTCATCATGTCATACTAATCATACAAATCAAACTGCATTCCACAAACATTTTCAATGCATAAATCAAAACATACTTAATAAACAAGTATAATATAATACAATGCCACTAGTACGCAAATCGAGCCATACGTCAACCGAGAAGACACGTCATCACGATGAGTCCATCAAGCTCCATGAAATCTCATCCGCACTCTAAGATAACCGACACGCTAGAAGAACTCAGCTAGTTGATTAAAAAGCCAACCGTCGATCAAGGTCGAGAGTAGGGTCCACAATCCTAGAAATATAAACCGGAAGAGCCACCCATCAAATTTTTGATTCGTAACTTCCCAAAGTCCACATTATTCTTCTAGAACAACGTACTAAAATTTCATTACGATCCAACGGTCAAATCTTCGCCAATCACAATTTCAAGTGGCGGTCAACATTTGATTTTTCAAACTTAGGAATCCAATTCGGGAAGATCCGTACGTCGGATTCCTGATCCATCAGGTTTAACTATCCTAAAATATTATGTACTATTACATATTTAAATTTGGTGCCGATCCAACAGTCGGATCGTCAATTCATATAATAACCTTGTGGCGGCCAACTAGGTGGTCAACAATGAAACTATATTAAGACATAGGAATTCCACTAAACGGATATCAAATATGGAATCAAGGCATCAAAATTAGTCTCGAATGGTCAGGTGGGGTTTCGGCCACGCACCGCCTCACACGGCAGCTAGCTACCCCGACTCGCTAGAAAATCCAACTAATTCCAAAAATTACCAAAATTCACATAATTGTAGATCTTAATGAGTAGAGCAAGTTTCATACCTGTGACCAAGGCCAATTTGGCCAGGAAAAGCTCTAATTTCCCTCGAACCCGCCAGAAATCCTTGAATTTGGGTGTTCTTAATTTGACTTCAAAACAGCTCCGCCGCCCCCAAACTTTTTTGGGCTTTGTTCTTAGCCTCCAGAGGATGCTAAAGGTGGTGGTGATCAAAGAAATTTGTTTTCAAATTTGGTGGATCGACAACTAAGAACCCGTGCATCCACCGATGCGGTTTCCACAATTTCAAGGCCAATTTGTATGCATTTTGGGGTGGAATTGGTAGAGGGAAGGCTAGGGGTTGTTTCCAAGTGATGGATGGCGGCGATTCACCGTGAAACGCCGTGTATGGTGTTGGAAAACTCGTGCTACCACCGGGTCGAGTCGCAAAGGGTGCGAGTCAAGGATTCCCCCGCTTCCCCTTTCTCTCTTTTCCCCTCCTTTCTTTCTTTTTTGATTAGTCCATCCCCTCTCCTTTCCCTCCTTTCTCCTCTTTCCTTTCCATCACAACCGTCTATCTCTCTCCTTTCTCTTCTTTTCCTTTCATCCCAACCACACATGTGGCACTTCTCATTGCTCTAGAAAATTTAGAGCCTTATAGATTGAAGGAAAATTACCAAAATGTCCTTAACTTTAAACGTTAATAACTCCTTCGTTATACCTTCGTTTTACGAACGGTTTGTGCTTACTGGTTTGTGAGATCGAGCTTTATTCGAAAATATAAATTGTGAAAGGCCTACGGATTTTAAATAACTAATTTCCAAACTTCAAACTTCGTAACTAATTTAATTAAAATCTAAATTCAAATAAATTAATATAAATTCCTGAAAAATAATATAAAATCTCAATCAAACAATTACATAGATTATAACAATAAAATCCAAGAACGAGATTTCACAGTAGTACTTTCAGCCCTGTAAAATCCTGAAGGTGATTGTGGATTAAATCTCCTCCCTAAAACTCCTTCAGCCCTTTCCAATCCAATGTGCTCTAGGAGAGCCTGGTTGCTCACCTAGGGCAAAAATTGACTCGCCCAGCCCAAAAGCCATGTGACACAAGGTTGGTATCAGTCGTAATTAAAAATATAAAAAATTATAAAAAGTTAATTAAAAATACAAAAAATAAAAATATTATAATTTTTTTCTATAAATACCCAAACATGTTTCTCCCACCTAACACTACATTTCAATATTTTCAAATACCTTCAACCAATCGTTTATTATTATCCCAAATTAAAAATAAAATTATGTTTTATTATTTTATTAAAAAATTAATAATATTTTAATACGAATTGTCTAGGAGTAGTGGAGACACAATTGGACAGTTACTATTTATATGGGATTGAATTGCCTATTTTCCAGGATTTTTTTTAACAAATGGAAGTACTCTTAATAAATAAATAAAAAACAATAATTAATACTTCAATAATAATTTAATCATGGAAGCTTTAATAAAAAGGGTTTGGATTAAGTTCATTTTAATGAAAAACCATCTACTAACTTTATTTAATATAAAAAACTTAAAATTTAATGAAAATGACACAATACAATATAATAAGAACAAAAACTAAAACTCATAAGTAGAAAACAAGCTTACATGCAAAACAATTTTTTTTACTTTCCAGCCTGTGCCCGTCAGGAAGCTCAATTCTGTCCGCCAGTCCAATTCCTCTATATTTGTCTGTCAACCAAAAAAAGCCCTCTCAATTCATGATATTTTGAGAGCGAGAAAGGTGGGAAGAGAGAGAAAATATTATTTTATATGATTTATTATTTATTTTTAATTATTTTAATGGTTAAATCTAATGGGAATTGATGGAGGAAGTAGAAATACACGTGACTCGTCGAAGCAGTAGAAAGTCTGCAATTTTTTGTTTGAATGCCTGTGATGTGACATGTGAGAAGTTGTTCTTTCCTTCCCATCTTATATGATATATTATACTAATTAAATTGGACTGACAGAACCAGTCAAGCTCAGTTACATATTCCTCCTTTGTCTGAGATGGAAAACTTTGTTTGAGATGGAAAACTTCAACCTGCACGGCGACAAGTAGAGGATGTCGATGGTGGCTTACAAAATAAAGAACTAAACCATTGACATATAGATTTTGTAAAGTTTAGAGGCAACTTAATTCAGTAGTTA